CCATATCACCGGACTCCGAAATTTTCAAACGCGATTAGAGTCCGGGGGATCCCCCGGACTCTAATCGCGTTTGAAAATTTCGGAGTCCGGTGATATGATACTTATCAAATTTGGAAAACGAAATGGAGGAAATAGTTTAATTAAATATAGTTTAGTTAAATTTTTCTTGAAAGTATCACCGTCGAATTTTTGAATCTTGATTTCAAAAAAACTCTTTGTTTCTCTGACGTTGACAAACAGATTGTTCGACTTTTGTGAAACAATTCACCAACGGAAGAAATAATAGTAGCATATCGGGGTTCGACATATGTTCTTTTCTGTTTTTTCTTTTTGCTGTAAATACTTTCCTTTGGTTAATAACGTTTAGTAAAGTAACAGTGTTCATTGTTCCCTTGACTGACAGAAAACTTCGCTGATTTTAGAACACTTTCCGTATTTATTTGCTGTTTCTAATCACGATTAGCCTTCAATCATGATTAGCACGGTCACATTGTTTATTTAACCGTGATTAAAATACTGTTAATCATGATTAAAAAAGGATGTGGTCACACTACAGAATCGTTAATCATGATTAACTCTTAGCATGATTAAGGCTGTAGCGTGACCCTAATGTTATTGTCTACTATATGTCATCAAGTCGCCAGCCATAAAAAAAACGTTCAGAAAATGACTTTATCGGAATTGCTGGAGAATCGAAATACTAAATCAAATAAGACGTGTAAGCTGTTTTAGATATAGAAAAACGCTAATTATTTTATTTCAATATTCATCTTGCCTTGAAACTCAGGCGTTCATAAGTGAAAATGATGTAATCATCTACGCACTTTCGATTTTTTGTGCTAACATAGAGGTTTTACGTGGCAACGATCACAGGAATTTGAGATAAGTTTTTTATTTGTTTCTGTGAACCAGTAACAAATGTGGTAGAGAGTGGACTACGCATTCTAAATGCATTGATGACTATTTCTTCATTTCACTTTGCAACTATACAGATTTGAAAGCTCATGATAGTTTTCTTCAGATAAAAAAGTGATTTGGTAACCAGCAACAGCTTACACATGGTCTAATTCAATACATTCCGATAAACTAGCTCCACCAACACCCTTGGCGATCTGATGAATGTATCTTTTTCGTTCTCTTTCTTTCTATGAGGAATTTTCCCAGTGTTAGTTCTTGGTTTCTTTATTTTCTGGGATCTCTTACATGTATCCCCAGTTTCCCAGTCTAGTATATCAACTCTAGAATATTCCGCTTTTCGTGTAAACTTAAATATAAATATATGCTATTTTTGTGCAAAAGGGATCTCATTCAGTTACTGAATAAACTACATATACACAACAGCGTATACCAGACCTAACAACCGGTAGTACAAGACAAGATTGATGAAAGCCTGCACTTGTCAGGTCTCTCACAAAAGATCAATTTTAGAATTTTGTTGTACAAATGAAGTGATAAAAAACGGTATAAAAATATTATTCTAATCTCTATATGTAAACATAAATTTCTGAGGCAACTCTTTTTTCCTTAGATAACCTTTTTTCTTCTTATGATTACGGAAAAGTTGGTGCTTCATCGGGATTTCGATCGCGATGTTTAATAACCTTAATATGATCAACAAAATGATATTTCAATGTCGATATAATATATTCCATATTATTTAATAATATGCGAAATTTATCAAATTCATCCCTTCTAATGCATAGAAAATCTTCTGGATGATCATATTGCTCATATGCCTGTCTTTCATTCAGATATTGTTCATATAGCATTTGCTCTTGACGTAAACGAGACGCTTCTATTCGATGATAACGTGGATCATGACGCAACTGTGCTTCATTCTCGAACGGTAATGTGGTCACTGCCGACAATTTATGATCGATGTTTAATAATAGATGATTTCGAATATAATCGATAGTTGCTCGATTTTCGTAAAGAGAATTTCGTCTATTTGATATTACTTGATCTGAAATAGTTGTCGCTGGCACTGTTGTTAAAACTCGTTTTTCAGCTGGTCCTGTCAATTTGGATGTGGATAAAATAAGTGTCGATGTTTTTCGTGTCACTTTTCGAAATGAATGATTAACTGACATCTGTTGATTAACCAAGATTGTTTTTGTTGTTGTTGTTCCTGTGGTTGTATGAGATCCAACAGAAATATCGGCACTATTAAAGAGGAAAAAAAAGAAGATTTTATAGTCAAATAATAACTCTGTAGTGACAATTTCTTAGATTATATCAAAATCGAAATATGCGAATTTTTCAATACTCTCATATAATGGCACAGGTTGTTAAAATTGAAAATCTTTTTCATAATATTTTGAATAGAATCTGTATATTAATTCTTTGTGAATGCAAAACTGTAGACTCAATGGTTATATATATTTACAATTACCAATTAAAAAATTCTTCCTGTTCCCCGCAGCCTTTACACGTATCACCATTGTCATCCGAATTTATCGTATCTGATGTATGATATTTCCATTGTAATATACAATGATCACAAATCAAATACGGTGGAAGACGAACACTGTAGAGAAAAAAAAATAAAGAGACACGTCATATGATCATACAAATAGAAAAAAATAATTTCTTTTTTTTTTTTAATTTGTCATTATATTAATAATCTACGGTCGGTAGAGAAAAAAAACATACGTCACCGAATATGTATTTTGGCTTGACATTTTTTTACGCTGTAAATAATGTCGTGTTGAAGATGAATTTATTATTTCTAATATTAAACGATTAAAACAATAATTTTGATTTCGATGTTTTGCACGACATAAACGAAATTCAAACCAACCACTTCGAAATGATTTTAGCTAAAAAATTGAAAAAATCCGATTAATGATCGATATAAAAGTGTAATAGAAGTCAAATTGATCAACCTGAATTACGATGGGAATTGTTGATCCACGATAATATGATTTAGTAATATCAGGTAAATCATTATGATCTTCACCACACACATTGCAAGTTTTACCTAAAAAATGTAAAAAACGTAAATGAATATGTCAAAAGGATATTATCGACCGCCTATTCTCTCGCTAATACTCAAGTCCATGATTCATATTGGATCCTACTTAAGTCCGACACAATTTCTGATTCCAAGACGAACATCTAGAATCCTAGTAGGATTTTCTGACCTGGATATGGCCATTTCACATAACTTGGCCAAAAACGAGATTGTATAACAGAAACTGTTATTTTCTCGTCATTGTATCTTTCGAACCAAAAGACGCCTTGAACTCACGATTTGCTCATTTTGCGACGAAAACTGTGCTTAACGAAATGCTCACAACTTTCTAGAATTCTTGATTAACGAGATATTGTGGAAATATTTAATGCTGCTTCTACAAAATTCCCTTTTCTTTCGACAATGTATGTCGACGTTTTGTGATACACATCCATACCTAAGAATTCTAGAAAGCTGTAAGTTCGTTAAGCACACTTTCCGTCTCAAAATGAGCAAATTGCGAGTTCAAGGCGCCTTTTTATTCGAAAGATATACAGACGAGAAAATAACAGGAAAAGTTATACAAATTACGTTTTCGGCCAAGGTATCTAGAATGGTCATATGCACGATAGAATAGGCGGGAATATTCATCCATTTCCTAGAAAGTTATACAAAAATCTTGCGTAGTAATATACAGCACCATTTTGTTTGTGGTGAATGATACAACTGATATCATTCTCATATTTATTTCTTGACATATTATGTGCCAAATGTCTTGATGGTGGATCAATCATTATTTGACCGATAATTTTAGTCCAAAATAAAGAGAATATATAAGTTATAATCAATTTTTGCATGATAATAAACTCATAATAATATTTCTAATCAATGTAGATCATCAATGTCAAGAGAATGATTTAATATGTTTAAGTTTATTTGAACTATTTACTAAAGAAATTAGAGTTTAATCATACATTATATGTGATAAAAATAGATTCAAGAATGTAACAAGAAATATAATACAATATATCTTCTAATAATTGTACAATAAATGTACTCAAGTGATACTACATAAAATGATCTAAAAATAAACCAAGAAAATTTTTGGTTCTATATAGACATATTTACCTGTGATAGCAATATACTATTTATCTTTGACTATAATTATTTTCTAATTAGAATGTCCAACATAAAGTCATTAATATGATTGATCATTGTTTCTAATAGGACATAAACTATTGCATATCAAGGTTATTTTTAATGCCATAAAAAATATGTTACAAGTCAACATTAGAACAATAAATATATTTAGAATGAATAAAAATTACAACGGACTCCCTCATCTCTTTTATACTCCATATAACTAATTTTTTTCCTATTAAAAAATATATTCAAATAATTTTCTTTTTCTTAAATATTTGATCGTATATCACACTGTTTTTCTGATATTAGTCAACTTAAATAATAAATACAAGTATACATATATTTCATCTATCATGTTCTTCTTAATAATCTATTGTTCATCTATGTCCTTTATAGACTAAAATCATTATATGTTTTTCAGATGAAATCGAAATCATGATTTATATGAGTATGAGAATAAAGTGGATGCTATTATTCAACACAACAGCATGAGCTTGGACTATAATGAAGAAATTACTAAATTGTGTGCGTGTTATTTAACTTATGTTATACAAAGAATATATATCGTTCAACTGTATTCATTCGAACTGTATAGTGGAAGAAAAAATAAATAAAACAGAAGGACAGAAATAACCAAATCCAATGGTTTTGTCCTTAAGAAAATTGACAGGGGAACAATTATGAAACATCAATACAAGTATGTGAGATGTGTGGACAAAGTGTCTAAAGACGAATTGATGGATCGCAATTTTTAAGCGTAAAAATGATGCAACAATTCGCGTTTTACCCTTGTTTTGCGAATTCGTACCGAATTGATGCGAACTGTATCGAATTCGTACCGATACTCTTAAAAACTTTTACGAATTCTTCTTGCGAATTCGTAAACAGAGAATAGATCAAACACGATGCTGATCAATTCGCAAATAATTCGTAAAATTAGTTTACAAATTCGTGTTCACTGTTTTTGGAACTAGATTGGTTCGTAAATACGAATTAGAGAATTCGTATTACGAACTGATTCAGCGGTTGAAAGTGGATCCACGAATTGACAAACCCATTCTGCAAATTCATTGCGAATCGATGTGTACGCTTATTAGGCTACGTAGGGACAGGACACTTTTCTCTGAGCTTCAAAATAGATAGTTCGCCTCTTCTCATCGATTCGCATACTCCTCATACCAATTCGCCGTTATTCTTACGAATTCGTAAAATACGGCATGTTGTGCAAATACTCACAGCCATCCTCACTACCCCCCCTGCTCGGCACATGCATACAAAAGGGAGAGAGATTCCTCTCTGTTTTGTTTCGCACAGATATATGTATTAATATAGTCTATTGTCACATTTTTTGATTAATTCATTCAACTGATCAATTCGTATTCTACGAATTCGTAAAAATAATGGCGAAGTGATGTGAGAAGTATGCGAATCGATGAGAAGAGACGAATCTATCTATTTTTAACCTCAGAGAAAAGTGTCCTGTCCCTGATATCAATTCGTATTTTACGAGTTCTATTTATGAATTCGTCGGTTATGCTTTGGCATCTATGACTTCGTAAATAGAATTCGCAAATTCGCATTTTGTCGTATTAATGCCAATTTACGAATTCGTACACGAATTCTTGGGGACCAAAATGATCATTTCACGAATTCGTCGATGGTCGACCAATTCGATTTACGAATTCGTAGGTACCGGAAAGGTGAAGTCCGCATAAGAACGGTAATCGGCCCACCAACAAAA